ACAGCAGTGGGTCTGTGCTTTGCCCTTGCTTTTAGCACAGGTTATTTACTAGGTATTCTTAGACTCCATAGTGCATGCTCAGCTGTCCAACTCTTTGCGTCCCCATGAACTGTAGCCCTCCAGGCTCCTCTGTCCATGGGATTTCCCAGGCAAGAATGCTGGAGTGGGTTGCCATTTCCTCCTCCAGAGGATCTTTCTTACCCATGGATTGAACCCTTATCTCCTACAACTCTTGCATTGCAGGCAGATTCTTTACCACTAAGCCACCATGGAAACCCTAAGACTCCATAGGCCACTGTGCTTAGGTTCCATAGAAATCTGTGTTTCTTCCTTGCAGTGTACTTCAGTTAGCCTGTCTAACTGCAAAGAATATGCTAATCCAGTATCACAGAAGGAAGATGAAAGGAAGTCTTGAAATGAGGGCATTTCTTCATGGAATGAGACCTCCTCCATTGTCTTGATTGAGGGTCAAGATATTATTTATAAAAGAAATGTATGCTTCTTATTTAAAAATGCAATTGTATATAGTAAAATGAAATAAAAATGAATTCTTCTTAGCTCAGCACACTTATTGCTCAGAGGCAAGTATTGTTAACAGCAGATTTCCGTTTACACACAAATGGACTGATATTTTGCCAGTTCTGCGACTTATTCACTCATGGAGTGGAACACTATTACTTTATTCCTCTTAGTGACTGCATTAGCCTTCCGTTATGTAAATGCAGCTTAATTGATGTGTCTGTTTCTTCCTGGATAAATAGCTGTCATGAACATCCTTGACCCCTGTCGCTAAGTTCAAGGTTCATTTTTTAATATATAGTTTTAAAAATTTGCTTTTGGTTGTGCTGGGTCTTTGTTGCTATGCAGGCTTTCTCTAGTTGCAGAGAGGGGAGTGCTACTCTTTGTTACATTGGCGGGCTTCTCCCTGCGGTGACTTCTTCTGTTGCTGAGCACAGACTCTAAGGCATGCAGCCCTCAGTAGTTGGTGGCGCTTGGGCTCGGTTGACCAGGGCGTGGGGATCTTCCCAGATCAGAGATCAAACCCATGTCCCCTGCATTGGCAGGTGAATTCTTAACCACTGGACCACCAGGGAAGCCCCTCAAGGCTCATTTTTATGACTGAGTGGATGATCTCTCGGGATGGAGTCGATCTTTCTGCCACTCTGTCCACAAGTTTCTCCCTAACAGTGTTGATCACTGCCTATGATCAACTGTGGCTGTTGAACTATGACTGTTACTAAGTACTCATGGGTTAAGAGCCTTTTCTGAGTGCCATAATCTACTAGTATTCACTGGGAAAGATTAATGGTGATCACATTAAAACAACTGCTGTATGCCAGATACCTTATTTCAGCTTTCAGGGTGTTATCCTCTGACAGTGCTTTCCATGCAAAGAGCAAGAAGGCCCTGGGCAAGATGGAAGCATCAGGGCTGGAATTTAAACCCGTATGAGTCTAACTCCAAAGATCTCGTGAAGGAGAGACTCCCAGGTTGTGCTTACTTCCGCTCCTCCTATGCCTTTCGTCCCTCACCAGCATGTGTCCTGGCTCCTCTTTCTCACAGCGTGCTTGGCAGTAGTAGCTGATCAATGCGCAGATGTCTGCAGTGCTCTTGAGGACATCGCAGTCTGGTTAAGGGGATTGTAAAATCTGTAGTCTTAGAAGCACAGAGCTGTGGAGACCTCAGCAGGCATTGTGGAGGTGGAAGAGCTTTGAACTGGGTCCACAGTCACAGAAAAGGAATGTCACGGGGCCACCTTCTGACCTAACAGGGTGCAGAATTCTTTTTTTTTATTTTTAACTGTGAGATTTATTTTGCCTATGTTATTGTTTTAAACATGCATCTTCAAATATATATATGTATAACTATACATATTATTTTTTAAAAAACATTGGCTGAATGATGGAATAAATGAATGAATGAATGAAAAAGCCTAGGGTGGAGATATAGTTTTCATAGTCAATAGTAAGCATGTTAATCAAAACCATGAGAACAGATGTGATCATCTAGGAAACTATCAAGGCAAGACAACAAGATGTGAACCAAGAGAATATCAACATTTCAAACAATAGACAAAGAACTATCAAACTGAAAACAGAGTACTGAAGAAAAGGACCATGAGGGAAATTGTACTCCTGAAGCTATCAGGCGAGAGTTTTAAGAAGGATATAAGCAATTAAAAATGTCAGATCTCAAAGAGAGATCAAGGTGAATAAAGACTGAAAAGAGTAACAAAGAACAAATAGATGACCTGACTGAGAAGAGTTTCAGTAGAGTGACTGGAGAAGTCAGAATGAGCTGTAGTTGAAGAAGTGGAGATGTCACTTCTCTTACAAAGTAGTTTGTAACATTTCTCAGAAAGATGAGAACCTCTACAAAGAATACATGTTGTTCAGATAAGAAAATTCCCAGTGATTAGTACTAACAAGAATTCTTTCTACTAAGTTGACAAGACAGCCATTGTTTAGAAAATAGTAAATCAAAGCATGAAATCAGTGCAGAATTGATTAGAAATGGCATCATGGAATAATCTGAAGGAGAAGAGGATATTTCAAGAAAGATTTGTGTCTGTGTGGGAAAGAGAATTTGAGCCAGCATTACAAAACACAGGTCTTTTGACTGTTCTGAAAGAGGATTGGAATAATAAATACATAGCTTATAGGGCAAAGACCTTCAGAATTCACCAGGTCATGATGAGGAGGTGAAATCAATAACCACGACAGCTGTCATTTGTTAAACACTTAATGTAACCAGGTACCACGCTTTACATACAATCTCTGCCTTAATCTTCATATTTACCCTGCAAAGTAGATATCATTATCCCCAATTTTCAGATAAGGAACTGAGTCACAGAAAGAGTAAGTAACTTTCTCAAGGTAATATTAGACCTTCATGAATTTTTATATCTCTGCCCTCTGTAGAAGTCATGGCTCTAGAGACTAGTGATTCTCACCATATTTAAGACCCATGAAAGATTTTTAAAATGGAGTACAGTGAGTATTCTGCCAAGTTTGTTTCTCAGATGTGATCTGTGAATAAATGCATTGTCTAAAAGCAAAAAGAGTGGTTACTTTAAAGGTCTCATTAAAGCATTTCTTTTTTGTTAAAAATAATTCTGTGTGTGTAGGTTAGGGGCTAATAGAGTGAGCGCTAAGATGAACTATCAGCTTTTACTCTGTCACTCATACTGTGAGCTCTTGGAACACTTAATCTCTCTGGGCCTAAAATTTTCTCTTCTAAATGAAGATAATAAGAGAACTAACATCCTAGGGTGATTGTGATTGTTAGAATGAGATAACGTAATGACTGCAAAGCACAAGAAGATCTGGTAAATAATGTTCAGGTAATACACTGGCTGTTATTTTAACAAGCAAAAATTCCTGTTAACTCACTAAATATAACACCCACCAAATCTCTGAATAGTTTTATCCTTCAGAAAGTGAGTCAAACAGCACAAGCCCAGAGGGAATATAACCAAGGCAAACCTTGGAACTTCACCACTTTGGAATTCAAAATGCCTTTGGATGGGGGTTTTACTGGCTGCAAGGACCCATTTTTACAACCCTGAGTGAGTGTTTACTTAAAATTTGCACCCTTAGGCACCTCTGGGCTTCTCTTGTGGCTCAGCTGGTAAAGAATCCGCCTGCAATGTGGAAGACCTGGGTTCGATCCCGGAGTTGGGAAGATCCCCTGGAGAAGGGAATGACTACCTGCTCCAGTATTCTGGCCTGAGAATTCCATGGACTGTATAGTCCATGGGGCCACAAAGAGTCAGACATGACTGAGTGACTTTCACTTTCACTTTTCAGTTTAGGCACCTCTAGTCCCAGCCCTCCCCAGCAGGCTGGAACAGGTAATTCCTTTAGAAAAGGTCTACAATAATTCAGGGGTGCTTTCTCTTTGGGTTTAATGTGTCTCAATATCAATAGAAAATCTCAAATCTAAATTCTAAAGCTCAAATCAAAGCCTCATTTAAAAGTGCTTCCCCTGCCTCCATCCTTCCGCTTGACAGCCTGATATTTCCTGAGTTGCTTCCCAGCACGCTTGGACCCAGCACACCTGCGTGGATGCTCTCACGTCGGAAAGAGCAGAATTGCTCCCAGGCGGCTCCTCTAAGCACTTATGTTCCAGCTCAGGCAGTGACAGAGCTAATCATGCTGCCAGGAATGAAGATTTACAGTACCCCTGAGTTATGCCTTGCTCCTGGAGTCTGCTGGTCCTTTGCTGTTGGCGCTTTGTGGAGTGATCTCTCCAACTCATATTAACTTCATTCATATCCTCAGACAACTTATCCACTGCACTTTATATAAAATCAGTTGGTATTCTTTATTCACTTTTGCCTTTCTCCTTGAAGTTTTGAGCAGATGCTTTAGAAGGTCTGACTCAAATTTCTCCCATTTCCGTGTTTGAGTTTTTCTCATAGTTAGATTTGTGTAACTTGTACATTTTTATTTCTTTACCATGTGGATCATGGCATGGTAGCCCTGAGTACCCGTACCTAGAGCTGTGCACACTGGCTTGCATTCGGGGCCCATCCACACTGAGGTGTGTTCACGGCAAATGGACTTATGGCTGGTCTCATCAAGCCCTCAGCTGGTCACAACACCAAGAAATTAATGGTCCTTTCCCCAGTAAACAGACCCAGAAGAGATCCCAAAAGGACATCTCTTGTCTGGAGTCTTGCATTTCTGGTTTCTATTACTTATTTTCTAGGTTAACCCCAGATAGTCAGTACCTTATTTTTAGAAGCTTAGTTCAACATTGGGTTGAAAGGTCTCCTCATTTGTAACAAGAGACAGCATTTTAAAGCAGTCTTCCCAATTTAATTAGTTGTAAACCTCTTTAGAAGAAAGAAGTCCCCATCAGAGCATGTGTCATAGAAAGGCGGAAGATGGGAATCTCCAGATTGATGACACCTGGGGGTCCTGTGTTCAAATCCTGGGGGAAGGGTGCTGAGCTGGGAAGCTAACTTGCAAGGATTTGTCTCTTTTTCACTTCAGCACGCCCTTGTGAGCTCTACTGCCGACCCATCGACGGCCACTTTTCCGAGAAAATGCTGGATGCTGTCATTGATGGTACCCCTTGCTTTGAAGGCGGCAACAGCAGAAATGTCTGTATTAATGGCATGTGTAAGGTATTGGGTATGTTTCTTTAATCTACAACTTTATAAAATCATGATTTTTTATTAATTTGAAAAGTTAGATGTTTTAATCTTTTGCTCTTGTGGTATTTGCATGTGGACTGGTATTTTTATACAGTCTGTGAGACAAGACTTTTCAGTGTTCATCAAGGTCACAGTTAGAAACCAAATGTCCTCCTGCTGTTGTCTTCATTTCTTGAGCTGTTGATGCACTCTGTGATATTTCAGGCATGGAGCTGAGTCAAACTGAAGAAGAATCAAACTATTCTTTAGAGGAATGATTCTTTGGAGGAATTATTAGGAAAAGGCAACTCAAATTATTTCAGTGGCTTTGAATTACTCACTGGTTACTTGCCAACAGTAAATTTGAGGAAAAACTAATAAATAATCATATAGTGTTTTTCACAAAGCATTTTGATATTTAATTCACCTTGATCACCAACATGATCACCTTAGGAAGAGAGATGGCATGACAGATAATTATAAACCAGGTCTTCTGATATCAGTTTAACTTTTCACATTGACTCCATTAGGAAACTCTTGCCTTTATATAAATTACTTGGGTCTGATTTTTAATCAGACTTGGCATCACCAACTCAATGGATATGGGTTAGAGCAAGCTCTGGGAGTTGGTGATGGACAGGGCAGCCTGGCGTGCTGCAGTCCATGGGGTCACAAGTAGTCGGACATGACCTAGTGACCAAACTGATTTTTTAATGCCTTTACATGTACAACCACTGAGGAATTTCTCCCATTGCTTACAGTCTATTTTGCAAGGAACTAAGAAACAAGCTTTGAGATCCAGTACTTGGGCATAAACCTCAGTTTAAAGAGGAGGTTTTTTGGGAACTTCCCTGATGGTCCCGTGATTAAGACTTAGTGCTTCCACAGCTTGGGGAACAGGTTTGATCCCTGGTCAGGGAACTAAGATCCCACATGCTGTGCACCACAACCAAAAACAAATAAAGAGAAGGTGTTTTTAATCAATGAAAGAAAAGCTATATAAAAATAATTAACTATTAGTAAAGCATAATGGCTTAGTGCTTAGGGTCTAGAATACAAACCCAATACCACTATTTCCAAGCTGTGTAACTCTACATCTTTTTAAGACTCAGTTATCTTTCACAGAATTGAGATGTTAACATATCTTCTTAGATTAAATGAGGTTTAATCTAAATGTAAAGTCCTTAACAGAGCCCACGGCACACCAAAAACTCTTAATGTATTTTACTCATTTTTGCAAGTTATTGTCACAGTTTTTCCACTGGACTGAGTTATCACCATGAGAAGATCTTGGCCATCAATGTTTAGCACCCTGGGAAGGTGAATTTATCACCCTGCAGTTGCTGATGGACTTATTCCAGTCCTGACCAAGGCACAGGGAGGCAATATATGATTCCAAGACTAAGTGAGCTAACAGCAGGTCATAATCAGACTCTAAATTAGAACGAACTCAGGCAAAGTTCTCTTCCTGACACACTAATAGCCATTATATCTACAAAGAGCCAAAAATAATTAATATATTTTAGGTCAGCTCTGTTCCCCAGAGTGGGAAAAAGTTTGGCTAATTTAGGCCCCAATAGCCCCATGGCCATTTACTACAGCGGTTCTCAGGCCTGGCTGCCTATTAGAATCAGCTGGAGAGCTTTTAAAAACCCTACTGATGTCTGGCTCTATCGCCACCCTATTAATTCAGAATCGCCTGGATGTGGAGACTAGGCATTGGTATTTTTAAGACTCCTCAGATGATTGCCATATGCTGTTAGGGCTGAGAACTTTAGTCATCAAGAAATGAATGTGATGCTAAAATTATCTTTTAGACCTAAATAACCTTTGCCTGTATAGAGACTGATTTTAGCTTGTGATGGAAAAAAGCAAGTAGTTTGAACGGAAACATAAGGGGTGTTGGGTATCTCTCTTGAAGCCAATTAAATCAGCTTAATAGAATAAGTCAGATTCTCTTAGCTTGCTTTTTTATTTCTGGAAACCAGTTAAGGCCTTTTAGAAACATTGATTACTCACTTTCTGTCTATACCACACTGAGCTAAGTTTTTAAGCTGAGAAATTATGTCAAATCAAATTTACCTTAATAGCCTAAATGCAATTTATCTTTTAAAGATCCAGATTGTAGTTATTTTCAGCTTTTGTTAGTCTTCTTATTTTTTTTCCAAAGGGAATTGAACATGTATTGAAAGAAAAAGTTATACCATTAGAAAAAATGTATATGGTGTCTGATTCATCTTTGTGTATATGAAAATGTTTGCTTATGGTCATATAAATACCTGCTATAGTTGCTTATACTCATATATTTAGCTATTTTGCAATTATGATACTTGCCACCATTTTGGCATGTTAGATTTGCAGATTCTGTTGTCAAGGGAATTTTTTTCCTACTATTTCATTTACCCTCTGTATCTATACAAGGCTAAGATTTTAAGTAAAGTGGTATTTGCCGTCAAATTATTTTCTCCTGTCCTTTTTTTTTTTCCATTTATTTTTATTAGTTTCGGGCTAATTACTTTACAATATTGTAGTGGTTTTTGCCATACATTGACATGAATCAGCCATGGATTTACATGTATTCCCCATCCCGGTCCCCCCTCCCACCTCCCTCTCCACCCGATCCCTCTGGGTCTTCCCAGTGCACCAGCCCCGAGCACTTGTCTCATGCATCCAACGTGGGCTGGTGGTCTGTTTCACCCTAGATAATATACATGTTTCGATGCTGTTCTTTGGGGAGGATTTACACCCATCTTCTGCTAGATTTTTTGAAAGTGTTAATGGATACAGTGTCCTCAGAGTTCTTTCTCATTTAAAAATATGTATAAATTTTATTTTATAAAATAAAATTTTATAATTTTGCTTTTATTCTTGAAGGACATTTGACTGGGTACAAAATTTGGGGCATCACACAGCCTTTCCCCCTAAATTTTGTAAACATTGCTCTTCTCTCTTCTGCTGTTGAATCTTATATGAAGTACAGGGCTGGGCTAATATCTCTCCCTACGTAACTTGGTATTTTTCTTTCTTTTTATGTAATTTACTTTTTATTGAAGTATAGTTGATTTACAGTGTTTCAAGTATTCAGCAAAGTAATTCAGTATGCTGTGCTGTGCTATGCATAGTTGTTCAGTCATGTCCAACTCTTTGCAACCCCATGGGCTGTAACCTGTCAGGTTCCTCTGTTCATGGGGATTCTCCAGGCAAGAATCAAACTGGGGTCTCCTGCGTTGTGGGAGGATTCTTTACCAGCTGAGCTACCAGGGAATATATATATATATATGCTTTTTCAGATTCTTATCTACTGTAGGTTGCTTCCACACATTAACTACTATAAATAGTGTTGCTGTGAATACTGGGGTGCATGTGTCTTTTTGAGTTAGAGTTTCTCTGGATATATGCCCAAGAATAGGATTATTGGATCATTTGGCAACTCTGTTTTTAGCTTTTTAAGGAACCTCTATAGTATTCTCCAAGGTGGCTGCACCAGTTTACATTCCCACCAATGATGTAGGATGGTTACCTTTTCTCCACACCCACTCCAGCGTTTATTATTTGTAGACTTTTCAGTGATGGCCATTTTGACCAGTGTAAGGTGATGCCTCATTGTAGTTTTGATTTACATCTGGCTAATTAGTGACATTGAGTGTATTTTCATGTACTTATATGTTTATCTTCTTCGAGAAATGTCTATTTAGGTCTTCTATTTATTTATTTTGCTGTTGAGCTGTATAAGCTGTTTGCTTATTTTGAAAATTAATCCCTTGTCAGTTGCCTCGTTTACTAATATTTTCTCCCATTCCATAGGTTGTCTTTTCATTTTCTTTATGGTTTCCTTTGCTGTGCAAAAGCTTTTAAGGGTAATATGGTCCCATTTGTTTATTTTTGCTTTTATTTCCATTACTCTAGGAGAAGGATCCAAAATAATATTGCTGTGATTTATGTCAAAGAGTAGTCTGCCTGTGTTTTCCTCTCGGAGTTTTTGAGTATCCGGTCTTACATTTAGGTCTTTAATCCATATTGAGTTTATTTTTGTATATGATATTAGAGAATGTTCTAATTTCACTCTTTTACATGTAGCTGTCCAGTTTTCTCAGCACCACTTATTGAAGAGTCTTTTTCCCATTGCATATTCTTGCCTCCTTTGTCACATTAAATGACCATAAATGCATGGGTTTATCTCTGGCCTTTCTATTCTCTGAACTTCTAAGCTTATTTATCACGGATACAAATTTAAACAATGACTTTTCAGGATGTCATCTATTTTGAATCACAGATATGACATGCAATAAGCTTTTAAATATATGAACAGATATTCCCACCCCTCTTCCTACCGTCCCAGTGCTGCAGTCTTACCTGCTGTCCTAAGACAGAATACCAGCCTTCTAGCTCGCTCACCCTTTCTCTCGGCAACCAGCTCTCTGACTTTCTGTTCTTTGCTCTTCCCTTTTCTCCCAGTCAGTACAGCTTTGGCTTAATTTCCTTCCCAAACAGGCTTGATGCCTTGAACTATCACATCAACCATCCCCTAGTCTTCTCTTAGCCGTCCATCAGCCTCTCACTCCAGGATCCTGATTCTGATCAACCCACCATAATGATTTTTGCTCTTATAATAAGCCTACTGTACACTTCTTAATAATTGAACTTGGTGAATTTGTGCCCTTATAAATCAATGTCTTTAGCCCCAGCTGAGTCCCCAGCCTTACCTGACAGTCTTCCTACCTGTCCTAAGTCAGCTTCCTTTCTCATCGCTCTCACAATCTTTCTACTCCTCTTTGTTCTCTTTCGTGGGCATTTTGGCCAACTCAGTGATTGGCTGAACACCCAGGTGTCAATTTCTCTGGGCCACATATCTCTCCAGAAGACCAGATCCAGGCTCCTGGCCCTCAATGTTATGGTGAGGAAAGCATTATTGCTGCTGTCCCATTTGTTAAAGGATAATGTCATTTACCTGTTCTCAGTTAAGCATAACTGGCCCTATCGTCACACTAAAG